CGTAGTAGTAGTAGTAGTAGTCGTAGTAGTAGTAGTAGTAGTACTAGTAGTAGTAGTAGTAGTAGTAGTAGTAGTAGTAACAGTCGTAGTCGTAGTCGTAGTAGTCGTCGTAGTCGTAGTCGTCGTATGCGTAGTCGTCGTCGTAGTCGTAGTCGTAGTCGTAGTCGTCGTCGTAGTCGTCGTCGTCGTAGTCGTCGGCGTAGTAGTAGTAGTAGTAGTAGTAGTAGTAGTAGTAGTAGTAGTAGTAGTAGTAGAGTAGTAGTAGTAGTAGTAGTAGTAGTAGTAGTAGTAGTAGTAGTAGTAGTAGTAGTAGTAGTAGTAGCAGTAGTAGTAGTAGTAGCAGTAGCAGTAGCAGTAGCAGTAGCAGTAGCAGCAGTAGCAGTAGCAGTAGCAGTAGCAGTAGCAGTAGCAGTAGCAGTAGCAGTAGCAGTAGCAGTAGCAGTAGCAGTAGCAGTAGTAGTAGTAGTAGTAGTAGTAGTAGTAGTAGTAGTAGTAGTAGTAGTAGTAGTAGTAGTAATGGTAGTAGCAGTAGTACTACTAGTAGCAGTAGTAGTCGGATTCTGGACGTAGCACCCCGCAGATGCGGATAAGAGTGAGAGGGCGGTGGGGACGTCGGCAGACTGCGGGACTCTGGATATGCCCACCGCAGGCGCCAACGTTTCACAACTTTTTCAAAATGCCCGCCGCAGGCTCATATTTTTCTTTAACCCGCTGTGGATCGGTCGCGGGTGGGTCGCGGATGGGCCGCGGGAGAGTTGCGGGTGGGTCGCGGGGTGGGTGGTGGTGGGTCGCAAGTGGGTCGCAGGTGGGTCGCGGGTGGATCGCGGATGGGTCGCGGGGTGTGTCGCGGGTGGGTCGCGGGGTGGGTCGCGGATGGGTCGCGGGGTGGGTCGCGGGTGGATCGCGGGGTGGGTCGCGGGTGGGTCGCGGGTGGGTCGCGGGTGGGTCGAAGGGTGGGTCGTGGGGTGGGTCGCGGGGTGGGTCGCGGGATGGGTCGCGGGGTGGGTCGCGGGATGGGGGAACGACGACAACACACAACACACGACAGCAAGAATAGCAATCATTTCACCCTCATGCGCGATGTTTCCACACGAATCATGCGATCATCATGATAACTATCCACATCATGGGGGGGGACTCGTGTTCTATAGCGGTGTCCGTTGTTCCCATTCCCAGATCTCCCGCCCAATGAGGTCTTGCAAACGCCTCCTCCGAGGGATTTCAACATATCCCGCCTCGAAAACACATGCCCGCGCCTTGCTGCGCCGATGCGAGACCGCCAGTGGAACCCCAGCGAAGGGTAAAGCACAATGAAGTATTGAACGACAGGATTGCCTTGGTGGGGATGGGGGTTGTCGGCGGTGAGGCAAGGACCTCGCCCTGAATAGAAGGGGGGAAGTCTCGAGCAGGGCTGCTGCTGTTGCTGGGAGCGGCGCCAATGCTGAAGAGAGTAGGGCGTTGGCCCAGCGTAAAACGGAAGGACGTCTTGAGCGGGAACGCTGGTTTTGTTGGGACGGCGGCTTTCGGCGGCGAGGAAGAACACCGCCTTGAGTAAGAGAGGATGCAGCATCGAGCGGGACCCGTGGTTTTGTCGGGACGGGGGCTGTCTGCGGCGAGGAACAACACCGTCCCGAGGAAAAAGAGAGGACGTCTCGAGCGGGAACGTTGTTCTTGCTGGGGGCGGCGCCAATTCAAAAGACAGTTGGCCGCCAGTCCAGCGTAAAACGGAAGGAAGTCTCAGGCGGGAGCGTTGATTTTGTCGGGGCGGCGGTTTTCGGCGGCGAGGAGGAACACCGCCTCGAGTAAGAGAGGAGGAAGCATCGAGCGGGACCCGTGGTTTTGTCGGGACGGGGGCTGTCGGCGGCGAGGAACAACACCGTCCCGAGGAAAAAGAGAGGACGTCTCGAGCGGGAACGTTGTTCTTGCTGGGGGCGGCGCCAATTCAAAAGACAGTTGGCCGCCAGTCCAGCGTAAAACGGAAGGAAGTCTCAGGCGGGAGCGCTGATTTTGTCGGGGCGGCGATTTTCGGTGGCGACGAGGAGCAGCGCCTTGAGTAACAAAGTGAGGAGGCCTCGAGAGGGAGCGTTGTTTTTGCTGGGGGCGGCGCCGATGAGAGAAAGACTAGCGCGCCAGTCCAAGGTAAAACGGAAGGAAGTCTCGAGCGGGAGCGCTGGTTTTGTTAGGACGGCGGCTTTCGGCGGCGAGCAAGACCACCAGCCCTGAGTAAAAAAGGAGGAAGTCTCGAGCGGGAGCGTTGTTGTTGTTTGGGGGCCGGTTTTGGCGGTCCCCAAACTCGCTCGAGCGTGAGCCTCATTTTCGATGAACATGTAGCCGGCACTTCGGCGAGAGCGCAAGGGCGCCTGTAAGGGTTCCAACATTAATAACTGTTTAGTAATTATCTTTCAACAGCGACAGCACCAACACCAACACCAACAACACCATCAACAACAACAACGCGATCACCAACAACAACACCAACACCAACACCAACACAAACACAAACACTAACACCAACAACAACAGCAACAACAACAACAACCATGCTACAACCATAATCCAAACCACGGGTTCCCACTTCAGCCACGCACCCAGGGACACTGAATGACTGTTCGGCCCCCTCACTCTGATAAGTGGTCAACATAGTCTGCCTGCCCCCTGGCGGCGGGCGCGCGGATCTACGCCTGTGGCCGGCGGGGCGACGTGGAGAAGGCCGAGTCATGGGTGGCCGAGGCTGCTTTCCTTCCAGGGGGAGTAGGAGGAGGAGGAGGAGGAGGAGCCTCGTCGTCCTCCCCTCGCGGCCCTTCGCCGCTGCCCGACGCGGCTGGCACCGCGTCCTCATCGGGTCGTTTTTCTTCTCCGCCTCATGCCCGACCACTCGTCCTTATAGACAAATCCACTTCGTCTGACCACCAGACGTGTTGGTAGGGCGGGTTTGGTGTTTCGCCAGCGATCTCCTCTCTGTTTATGACCCCGAGCCTTTCCAACATTTCAACTGGCGCGCGGATGGAGTCGGGTGGCTGCCAAACTGTGGCCCTCGCCCTACCACCGCGCGCCTTCGTTTCAAACGTTTCCAACAAGTTGTGAGGGTGGGCTGCGCTTCCTCTTCAAGGTGCAACTCTCGGCGCTCGCGCCACGCGCACTCGTCCTAGCAGCTCCCAGCAGCGCCACTGATGGAGATTAGCTTCTCTTCAAACTGCAACTGTCGTTTGAGACTTTGTAATTGTCTTCTGGCCAGAACACGCATACTCACTTACACACACACTTACACACTCGCACACACACACACACTTCACTCACGTACACGCACTGACACGCATTCTTGCACTTACACGCACACACACGCACACGCACACATACACACACGCACACACGCGCACACACGACAAACATGTGCAACAGCTAGACGAGTGGAGGGCGACTCCCTTTCCTATCGCGCCTCTTGCCTGGGACTTCCTCAGGCGTTGTGACCGGGCGTTTCGGGCCGGAGAACGTTTGCGCGGAACGAGGGCGGCTGTTTCTCAAAGCGGGGCCCCCGCTGGACTTTTCCTATCGACTCCGTGCTCGTGCCTGGGCCTCGCTGCCGCCTCTCATCATGCAGGAGCAGGAAGCGGGGCCCTCGCCAGGGATGGCAGGATCGTAGGGGCGCCCGTCTCTCTCGAGGGGGTGGCACCCCCCGCAGCGGGGAGCACACGCTTCTCTCTTTGGTCGGGGCCTGTGGGGAAGAGGCTCGGGGCGGTTGGGCGTGCTGCAGCACCTTTTCCTCCTGCGTCCCCTCTCCTCGTCGCCCTCGTCCTCTCTCGTCCTCTCCCCGCCTCCGTGTCCACCTCCCTCGCCTTCCCTGCGGCGCCCTCCGCCTTCTCCTCCGGCTCCTCCCGCTCCGCACCCCCCCCTGTGGACCGCTGCCGTGCCGCTCGTGGCGTCGGCCACTGAGCCCGGGACCTGCTGCCCCGCCGTGCGCTCTGCCTGTGCTCCGCGTCTGGCATCCGTCTCGGGCTCGGGTTGGCCGATCCCGCCTCGCGCTCGGTTCCTTCTCTTGCTGCCTCTCGTCTGTGACCCCGAAGGCCCCGTCGCGCGTATTTTTGCGGAGGACGACCAATGGAGAGGAAGCGTGTTGCCCAATCATTTCCAGATGTCTGTAAGGAACAACTTGTGCACCAGGGGGGGAGGCCCATGATTGATCATCGTGGTTGCGTATGTGTTTCCACATACATGTGCGCCCGTGTGCCAACACGAGATGCTATCCTCTCACTCTGCCCGCTGCCTGTTCCCATTTGAGCTCAGGCACTCGGCCGATTTTGAAGAGCAGTTGGGCGCAGATGCTGGCCCTTGGGCCGTGCGCCCTCGACGCCGCGCGGCGGCTGGTCAGCAAGGTGCTTCACATGACCCTACACCCTGGACCCTGAGGGCCTAAGAATACCCACAGACCTCGATACCCAGGGAACCTCAACACCCAGAGACCCGCGGTCCCTACGTAAGACCATGGGTCCCCAAGGCCATGAGACCCTAGGATCACAATATCCTAACACCATAAGACCCTGTGACCCGCGGGCCCTAAGCGCGCTAACGCCAAACTGCTCCAAATAACTTGGGACACTGTGGCCCAAAGGCCCTTACAGATCCCCCACTTTTTACCCGCGACATTTTGGACCTCTTCCGGGGCCTCCCGGGCTTCCGCCCCGCCGCTCGAAACAGCTCTGGAGGCCACCTAACAGCGACCAGAGCGGCCTGATAGGGCCGAAGATGCCCGAATATCTTTGAAGAAGGCTCAAGAAGCCCCAAAAACGTCCTAAGAAGGTTTCAAGATGCGCCCCCAGAGGGCCCAGGGAGGCCAATATTGTCTGATTCGTGGGAACTTGCATTTTTTGCATCTTCGCACTTTGGGTTTTGACAGCGTCGAAAACGGCCCAAGAGACCCCAAACATTGCCCCAAGACGGCCCCAGAGGCCCCCGAGAGGGCCCCAGGACGGCCCAAACGAGCCCCAAGACGGTCCAAGAGGCGCCTGAAACGGCCCAAGAGGGCCTCCGCAACCATTTGGCCCAGGCCGTTCTAGCTCCAGAGCCCATGTGGATTCAGGCTCCCTTCTCTGGGAAGGCGGGGCCTCTTCCCCGAGCATCGCCAAGGACGGCATGCCAGGCTCGTAGGCCCGTGCCTCGCCGTGCGGAAGAGGTAGCATGGCCAAGCCTGACGCGAACTACTGCAGGCTATACCAGCGCAGTGAGTGCCTGAGGGGCAGTGAGTGCCCGATGCTGCACGCCGTGCACCTGACGACGGGCGCCGCGCCGGCGCACTCCCAGTCAAGCCAGACAAGGCGTGATGACATCAGCGAGGGCTTCTCCATGGACAGCAGCAGCGAGGACAACTGGACGTCGAGCTCTGGCAGTCGCAGCTGGGCGGACATGTCCGAGGGCCTGTGGACCGTCCAGCGAGCCGGGCTGCCGCGCACCCGGCCTGCAGCCGAGCCCCCCCGTGCCTGGTCCGCCAGGGCCGCCTCGTCCCGCGATGAGTTTCCATCCTTCGACGAGCGCATATCTCATATCCCCGAGTTCATGCCCAGCGAGTCGCGCGAGAACGATGCGGCCGGCTACAGCCACAAATCCAAGTCGGCCATTCGGCGGAGGCAGCGGCAGATGACCGTCAAGTGGGCTGCGATGAGGGAGGTCAACAGCACCATGTCTTTGCCGGTCATGCATGCACTGAGCGGGATGCCATCGTCGCTGCCACCCGCTCGATATTCGCCGCGGACCGAGTCGGCTTCGCCAGAGAGACCTCCAGCCCCAGCGCCGTCGCCGAGGCGGCCTCGGCGCATGGATGACCACGACCCTGGCGACTCCTGCGACGACGGCCATGCGTTCGAGAACACGAAAGTCTCGTTGTGACATCGGGGTCGCGCATATTTCAACCAGGCGCCTGGAGACGGCAAGCTTGGGGATTCCAGTTTGATTCGGCCAATGCCAGTTAGCCTTGCCTCTCCAGATGTCTACTAGGTCATTCTGAGTTTGGCGGCCATATCTCACGGAACCCACTGCCAAGTCAGAGATTGACCATTTTTTTTTACAGAATGGCCACGATCGTGCCCACATTGTTTCCAACATGTTCTTCCGCAAATGTATAAGTGCATTTGCGTTCTACGCGATCCTACGCCCTGGGAGTTGCGAAGCATTGCTTCGGCATTGCGTGCACTGGATGATTCCAAATAATCTCATACCCCAAACAGTAGTTTTTTTGTTTTTTTTTTTTTTTTTAAAAAAATTTGGAGTAGACAACGCAGTAACATGCCCAGCGGCCACTACGCTGCCGCTACGCTTTCACTTCGAGTCCTCCTTACTCTCTACCAGCATCATGTTTTCCATTCTGGAGAGCTGGGCTCTCCGCAACCTTGATTTCTCCACTTACCCAAGTGAGTGCAGTGCTTAGTGCAACAACCGCAGCTGGCGTCCACAGGCGGCGAACACATTGTGCAGCGATTAGTGCAGTGCTTAGTGTTTGGCGTCCACAGGTCGGCGAACACATTGCCTTTCGGAATAAAAACGGCCTACGAGGGCCCCAAGAGGGATCCAAGAGTGGGAACTCCAACTGACATTTCGAGCCCTTTGCTCCCAGTGGGCCCCGGGCCGCCAGCAGGCCCCCAAGAGACCCCAAACAGCCCCCAGAGGGCCACACAAAACTTCAGAAATCGCTCCATGAGGGGCCCGAGACGCATGCCAACATAACCCCGAATCACATGTAATTATTCAAGGATCCCTTGGCCCACAACTCAGGCACAGCAGCAGAGTGGACCGAAGGCCATACATGAGCAAGCAACTGGCTTAGCGACGGACCCATCCCTGTGCAGTCATGTGCAGCGCAGGGCGCGGGTCTCTGGGGAAGACCCCGTGCGGGACATGCTCCGACATATCGGCGGGGGGACGACGCGCGAAGCTTTGCAAATTGGTTCCATAAGTAAGGTGGAGCTCCTTTTTGGGCATGGTTCGCGCGGCGGGTGTGCCGACATGGGCGGAGGGGCGCTGTGCAAACCTTGTCTCTGGGCCTGTACACTGTAGGCGATGCTTAAGAAAACCTAAATTTTCGTCCAGAGTCTCGATTATTCTTAACTTTTCCATGTAAATCCCAAGATGTTGATAGAAGTTCTGGGTTTTTATTCAAATTCTGAGACTATGAATTTCTTAACCCATGATTTCTTAAGCATTTCGCAGGGTGTAGGCGGGGGGGCGGGATGCAAGCCTTGACTCTGGGGCCGTCCGTGGAGCTGCTTGCGGGCCTCGATCCGTGCGAGAGGTGTGACGAAGCGAGCGGGGCGACGCTACGAGTCTTCCCTCTGGTGCCGCAGATGTAGTCACCTGCGGGGCACGATCCGCGTGAGGGGCGTACCACTGTGCGAACCTTGTCTCTGGGGACGTAGGTGGAGCTCCCTGTCGGGCGCGATCCCTGTGAGTGGTGTGCCGATATGGGCGGGGGGACGCTGAGCCAAGCCTGTCTGTGGGGCCGTCGGTGAAGCTCCCTGAGGGGCACGATCCGCGTGACAATACATGTCCTCCGATGCCGAACACTTGAGTCTACAACTAGAGCTTGCTAGAACCTAAGCGCGCGCGAAGCGCGCCCGTGGTTCTAGTACTCGTATGTCCGTTTGCGTCCCATCTCTCTATCTCTCTCTGCCACCGCCCTTCTTTCGTCCACCCCGATTGTCGAGCGCGCTCGAACTGACATCTGACACTGTGCTCTGAACATCCCGGTTCAGGCGGAGTTGCGCGGTCTGAGCGCCAGGGTCACGACGTACACCGCGCTCGTTGACGCCTGCGCGAAGTGTGGCGATGTTCCAAGGGCGGGCCAGGGGGGGGTTACACGCTTGCAGAGGTACGGTACGAGGGTTCGTGGCGCCTCCACGCAGTGCGAATGCTGGCGCGGGCCGTTCAGGATACAATGCCCTCGTGGTGCCAGCCGCGGGCTCTGGCATCCACAGAAAGCAACCCACGGCGCGGAATCGGTACGGAAGGCAGGGTCGACAGCCTTTGGAGACCGAGAGCGGAGATCCTTCAATGTAGTCAGGCCGCACAGGAAGGGTGAGCGATTTTCCAAGATTACCCTTGCATCCTTCCCCTTCGGCCCATCATTGGCCGCTTTTGCTGGGCGCGCCCCACCCGCAAAGTGTCGACATAGCCTTCCAAGGTCCCCGCATCCTTATCGTGCGTCCTTAATTGAACGGGTTGGCTGCACAGTGGTTCACACCGAATCATAAACAGTGGCCCGCGTCGTCAATTCATAAATTTGACATCAGCGTGAAGGTTGCTACAGCTTTGCATCTCGCTTTTCCTCATGCTCGCCCTCGTTCCCTTTACTTACCCGCTTATGACCTTTGGGGCGAAGCTTCATACACTCTTGTACGGAGGTGGCAGGGAGCACTCGAGTCGGCCGCTATTGGCCTTGGGCGCGCACAGCAGAACAGAACAGCTTTTGCACAGCGAACCTTGTGCACCCAGCACGAGTCCCTGTGAGCGGAATCCAAGGCGACTGTGGACCAGAAGCTGACCGAACGCATCTCACGATTTTCCCCAGCATGGTCAAATGTGCCATTTCTGCAATGGACATCAGTTGAAGGTAAGGCGAACCTGCTTGTGCACTTGCGAGTTAGCACGGGCTGATTCGCAATCGAAGCGCAGGGGTGGACCGAGACGGTGTTTTGGCGATTTCGTGGGCCGCTTTCGTTTCGACTTCGTTTTGCGGTACAGGCGGATTGAAGACAAACCGAATGAAAACGAAAACACAACGAAAGCAGAAAACACTGGTTAGGTCAAGCCCTGTCGAAGCGTATCCAGTGGCCCTCGTCCCCTTCCCGCCGCCGTGCTCGGGCCGCGAGCACGAGGCCTCTTCGATGCCTCTTGGGGCCTCGCTGTATTGGGACCCTTTTTTGGGGGCCTGCTGGGGGCCTCTTGGGCCTCGGGGTGCATCTTTGGGGCACCTTTGGTACATCTTTGGGGCCCCCGGGGCCCTCCTTGGGGCCTCTCAGGGGCTTCCTGGGGGTCCGCCACCGGCAGCACAGTTCGAGCTTCCCCCCCTCCTCCTCCTCCTCCTCCTCCTCCTCCTCCTCGGACTCCTGCTCCTGCTCCTCCTCCTCCTCCTCCTCCTTCTCCTCCTCCTCCTCCGCTCCCATGGGCCCCTCTTTGGAGCTTCTTGGGCACCCCTTGGATGCCTCGGGGGCCCTCTTGGGAGGGTCTCCAGGGCCTCCTCTAGCGGCCGAAGCGCCCGGGAATGTCTCGACTATACAGAAGCATTTCCTCTTAGCAGCGCTCGCATTTGGAGGCTCTTATTTTCTCAAGTGACCGACGCAAAACAACGGGGTGGTCTGCACCGACATCGGCGCGCAAGCTGCCCGCGTAAGCTCGCGCGTAAGCGCCCTCGCTTCAAGCGTGTCGTGCCGCGCTGGCGGCCCGCGTAAGCCGCGTAGGGTCGCTAAGTCATCTCGCGTAAGACCCGTTTTTGAGCGTCGCTCAAGTTATTTCCGCAGAAGGTTTCCACGCACCATCCTGAAATCGGGCCTGTCCCTCTACAGGAATAATATTCCAAACTAGTTCAAAAATAGGCTGGGGACTATTTTTTCAGTCTTTGGGGGCATTTTTGGATTATTTTTGGGGTATCTTTTATGTCTCGTCCAAGATCGGCCTGTAGGGGGACAGGCCCGACTTAACACCACACCCATTCGGATGCAACTCCTTTGGAGATCAAATTCTGATCTTGCCCTGGTCCGAAATCCGGCTTAATCTGGCTTGCTCCCGCTTAATCCCGCCTAATCCCGCTTAGTCCCGCTTGCTCCGGTTTAATCCCGCTTAATCCGAGGCCCACTCCGGCGTGACAGCTCCCGAATGCGGCTTAATCCTCCTAACTCAGACGAAGCCTCCCAGTAGTTGCCTCCTGACCCCATGCCTGGCCAGGGCCAATCTTGGCCCCGGGACGCCGTGCGGGCCCTCCCAGCCTCGGCGAGGGACGGCGTGCACACCGTGGCAGGGCCCCGGAGGGCCCTGGCCACATGCATGACGGTGGCGTCTGCAGGTGGCGGCCCCTGCCAAGAACCACCCCGCGTGCCTCCAGGGTGCCCTGGGTCTCTTCAAGAAGCCCAAGACTCCTCTTCTTCCTCCTCCTCCTCTTCCTCCTCCAGCGTCCTCCCCCCTGTCCTCCCCCACTTCACACAGCAGGTAATCACAGGGAGGCTCCGCGCCGTCTTTCGGCGGGAGCCCAGCCTCCAGCGTCTGCTCAGGTAGGCGGAGACCAGGACTGCGCCCTCCGCGGTTGGGGCTCCTCCTCTCCTCCTCCTCCTCCTCCTCCTCCTCCTCCTCCTCCTCCTACTTAAACGGATTGAGGTGTCATTAAGCGGATGCCGATGTGGTGAACATCTGGCCCAACCATCGAGATCCACCGGGTCTCGATGGCTTCGCTGTGGAAGGCGTGTCGCTCCCGCACCAAAAGTCCACGGATCGTCCTGGGGCCTCGGGGCTGGGCTTCTCGTGGAAGGCCTCTTGTGGACTGGCCGCCACTGCGCTCTCCTGTTGGCCCTTACGAATCGACACCAGTCGACGCCAACCGACGCGTATCATTGCCTTCCGCTGCAGAGCTCTTTGCCTCTATTCGGCGTCGCCCCAACCTGCTCGTATTATGCGTGCGTGGCCCCCCCCGGGGGCGACGCGCGCGCTGAGAAATCTTCGAGTGTGTGCGCCGTGGCGGGCGCTTTCGGGCCGCGCCGCTCGGGAGACGATGTGCTGCGCGATGGGTGCGCTACGTGACCGGGTCGGAGGCGTGCCTCCAAGGAGGACGCACCGTCTTAGCGTGTCTCTGTGCGTCCCATACACTTTCCCTGCGCTGCCGGGCTCTCCGCCCGTCGCCGACCGCGGCCGCCCGTGGGCGCGCCTGAGAGGGCGCCCCGCGCGCCCCCCCTGGGCCCTCCGCCACGTCGCCGCGCTTCGCGGGCGCCCGCGCTTGGTCGGCAGGCGCTGCCGAGGCCCTCGCCCGGGGATGCCCCCGTGGGCGCGCCCCGTGCGCTGGCTGCACCGCGTTGGCTGGCGCGCGCCCCACAGCTCGCACCGCATGGATTTCAGAGGAGGAATCTATCCCGGCAAAGCAACCCAACAGCGATACGTATAAGCACATCTGGAAGAATTCCCCTTCAGATTCAGGTGAGAGTCCAGTTGTAGAATTCTGCTGTTCTCGCAGTCGCAGTCGCATTCGCAATGACAGTCGCAGTGGCAACGGCCTTAGGATCCAATGGAATCCTAAGGATTCCTAGGGATTCCTACGGATGCCTCAGCCTGCCTCAGTTTCAGCCTCAGCCTCAGCCTGACTCGGATTGCCTCAGCCTCAGCCTCAGCCTGCCTCGGCCTCAGCCTGCGTCAGCCATAGCTTCAGCCTGCCTCAGCCTGAACCTGCCTCAGCCTCAGCCTCAGCCTCAGCCTCAGCCTGCTTCGGCGTGCCTCAGCCTCAGCCTCAGCTTGCCTCGGCCTCAGCCTGCCTGGGCCTCAGCCTGCCTCAGCCTCCCCTCCTCC